AAGCAGAAATTGTCCCAATTTGGAATTACCAATAGCTGAGGCACTAGCATAGTTAAATGTGCAGTATGTTGTAAAAGCTTCCATGTGGGATCTCACTGACTACAGAGACTTTTTGTAAAGAAAACTTAGAAAGAGAAACTTTCCTAATGAATAAATTTGTGATATGGGGTTCACATCCTCACTAAAAACCTTTAGGGGATTTGATCTCAAAGAGGTTGGAAACCACAGCTCTTCACTCTATGTTATACATCCATGGTGTAGCAATCTCAAAGGGACCATGTACATAGAATTTGTCCCTGTGGCTCTTCTTTTGTAAGCTTTAGGGATTTCACAGCGTGCTAAAACCCCAGAAATTTGCTATCCCTTTCCAAGCCAGACAATGGGTCTGTGGCCTCACCAACAATGTACTACTGCAGAAGCGCTGGCTAAAGCCCATCTCCATATTCGATTTGGAAGTGCTGAATCCTGTTGCTTTGTTTTTTATTCTAATGTTTATATCCTTTTCACACTGCTTTCCTTATGACTGGTTTTTATTTGGCCCTCGAGCTTAACATTTGGAACTTCCATTGCATGATTTTGTTGTTTTTTTTTTCTCTTTTTTAGCTTCTCAGAGAATAATGTTGATTGTTGCAATAAGCATCTTTCTTTCGTGTTTCATTTCATTTTCTATTCTATATAAGTTCTTACCCAGTAGCTCATCAAAACAACTGAATCAATTAAAGCAACCAAGTAACTAACATCTGCTATGTGTTTGCTGCCTCTGTAAGACTCTCCTAGAGCAAGAAATGTGTGCTTTGGAATGGTTAGCGGTTTATTATGTTATATATGAATACTGGTTTACAGAAGGCCAGATCAGAGAGGTTTTAATGATGTTCTTGAAGTGGAGAGCTGCAAAGTTTGTGCTAGCTCTGTATTCTTAGGAGGATCATGATGCAGGCTTTCCTCCATGAAAGCACTGTTTGAAGTGGAGCAGAGTTTTATCCTTGGGTAAAAAGATGAGTGAGTAAAGGACTCCCTTGAGTAGAGAGCATGTTGTGCTGGGAGAGAAGTTACCATTTGTGGTCTTTGCCCCAAGGCTGGTTGGGGCAAAAACTTGCTTTCTTTTTGTAATAGTTATCACTCACTCCCGATAATTTTAAATCTTGCCTGTTTTTTGTAGCAGTAGCTCACACTCTAGTGCTCTCCTCTGAATGAATTGCTGAAAGTGGAGTTTTACTCTCTGAAATTAATCAGTGAATAGAGCCAGCATGGTGTTGAATCTACTTTGACCTCCAGTTATCCCAGACCCTGAGAAATTTTAGGAGGAATTTATACTGATGTAAAATCACAACTTGGCTCTTGATCCTGATTGGAGCTAATTATCAGCTGATAATATCCTTCTGCCCTTCGTCTCTGAGTGGAAATCAGTGCTTTTATTTTATGTCTTAATCATTTGTAAAAGCTGAGCCTTGGGAAGCACTTGGAGCAACTGTGTTTTACACTCATTCTGTTAGCTAGTAAATACCTGTCTTCAAACTACATTTTAAGTTGTAAAATCACTTTTATGTACCTAGTTTATCATCCTGTAAAAACTGGCTGCTCTCCGTCTTGCTTAGTTGGAAAGCAGTGTGTCTCATACATTTTTGTTTTCAAGAACTTTATTTTAACTGCATGATAGTCTATGCACACAGTAGAATTTATGATGTTTCCAATTAATCTGGATTTAAGAAAAATGTTTAAAGGGGCTTGCAGTGTGGTTAAAAAAAAAAAAAAAGTGCTGTTTTTCAGTTTTCAAAATGACTTTCACTACAGAAATAAAGATTATTCTGAATACAAAAATGATTTTTCAGAATTAATTGACAGAGTAAATATTTAGCTGCAGCATCTTATGTGCCTGGTTTTTGAAGTCCTATAGGTGTCAGTAGTTGTTGCACACAAGAGGAATATCACAAGGTTTGCAGTAGCTTTGGTTTGACTGACACCTGTGAACAAGTATTAGGAAATACAGGCTTGTAGGATTAGACTCCACGCTCCTACTTACATAAGGAAATTGTGGAAAAACAATACAATGAAAGTACTGGAAAGAGAGAACAGTTCTGAACAGATCTCTAACAGTGCTTGTGGCAGTCCTAAAAACAAACCCTTGCATGTGAAGATGCTAAAGGTGAAGGGAATGAGTAGGTCGTGGCTTGGAATATCCTTTGGAACCTTCCTCTAAACACAACCTTGAATCTGTCTTAAATCATTCTTTGAAATGCTGCCATTGTAAGATCCTGGTGATCTATTTTCTCTGCTGTTCCTCTGTCTGGAAGGCACTGGAGTGGCAAGAAGACAAAAAAAGCCCTTTCCTTCATGGGTGTTGCAGGGATCATACAATCACCAAGGTTGGAAAACACCTCCAAGATCATTCAGTGCAACCCTCCACCTATCACTAGTGTTTCCCAATAAACCATCTCCCTTAGTACCACATCCAAACATTTCTTGAACACCTCCAGGGATGGTGACTCCACTGCCTCCCTGGGCAGCCCATTCCTGCACCTGACCACTATCAGAGAAGAAGAATGGATTTGCTGCTCCCCGAAATAACAGGTGTTTGCTGTCCACCACAGAGAAAAAGAAATCATTGCATTTTACAGGTACTGCACGATAGTCTCTGTTGGAGAGATTCAAATTCTGGTTGATAAGACTCTTGTAGTCACTTTTAGTTCTTTCTCTCTCAGAATGATCTAAATCTCAATTTCCTTCTTCTATTGGCATTTAGTAGAAAGTTTGGATCCAGTTTTGTTGAGTTTTCCCATTTCTCTCTTTTGCTATAATCAAAATATGATAAGGCCCATATTGCACATGAAACTTGACCCTACAATGAGACAAGGTGCTATTACCTTAATATAGGTCCTTCTACTGTAGGCTGGAAAAATTCTGTAGTTCTGTGGAACCTTTCCTCCAAGGCAAGCAGTCTTTTTGGATCCTCTTATGTTGTATGACAGACTTAGGATCACTGGAGAGTGGCTCCATCTCCATAATGCATCCAGTTCAAAGTCTTTTTTTTTTTTTTAATGTAAGAGAGAAGTCAGTTTTGCACTAGATGGAAATGCCTATGAAATTGCAAAGCAAATTACTTTGGGTGACTGACAGGGCTGGGCTGGCAGTGGTGTAGATGCAGACTTATCCCTGTTCAGGCTAGTCACAGTTCATTCATACCAAGAGAACAGTTCATCTCAGTCAAGCCTTCACCACAAGACTCCATTATTTCATCTTTTATGTAGAGGTACAGCAATAATCTGTAAAGATATCTACATGATATCTTTACAGATTGATGCAGTAGGCAAAGGAACTCATCTATTAAGACAAGTACCCAAGGCAGAATGAACGTTAAATTCTTTTGGCTGACTAAATAAAGGTTGTAGATTTATTTTTTTTCCCTTCTTGATTCCTACTTGTTCTGGTGGTATAAGGTGGGACTCATCCTTGAGATCTGGTGTCTGAACCATCCACCTTAACACTTACTAAAGACCAGGAGTGATTTCTATTTGAAGAATTTTCTTTAACATAGAGAAGCATTGATGTTCCTTTTTAATGTTTATGTACAGTGCGGTTGCAGACATGGCTCACACACCATGAACAAGGAAATAGGTACAACCTTCCATAGATATAAATTTAATGACCTTCTTAACTGAGTCAGAAGACCTCAAGGAGCAACAGAAAATATTCAGACTCAAATCAAAACAGATTTCAAATCTGAATAATAATTGAGACTAGTGCAGGAGACACTGAAAAATAGACAGGTATAGAAAATGTCAGTTCACTGAGTAGCTTTTCCAAGTCATTATAGAGCACCCAAACAATATTTTTGCATGATATGAATCCATCAGTTAGCACTGGAGGATTACAATGTTCTCTTGTCATAATTAAAATTAATTGTCTTCCCTATTAGATTGAAATAAATTAGCTTAGTACACATTAATTAATGTATAAATGTCAGAGTCAAAATTTTTTTATCTCCTGATGATCACAAGTCATATACAATCCCATGACAAGTGTAAGACCTGCCAGTTGCCTGAAGACTATGGTTTCTTAACAGGAATGCAAGAACTAAACTCTTCTGGAGAATTTAATATGTTTTCTAGTAACTATAACTGCATTTTTTAAATGCTATCTGCAGATATTCATGTATGTGCTGAGGTAAATTTTTTGTAGAAGTTCTATCTCTGGAAGTTTGTTTCCAGAAATGACATTTCAGCACCAGCTTCCCAGCATTACTATAGTGGCTGTATCCGTACTGTGGCAGAATAGGAAGAGCTTCTGGAGCTGACCAAGGTTGTAAGATTTGGGACACTCCAGGTGAGTAAGAACACAGAGAACAAAATGCAGTGAGGGAGTGCAGACACCCAGATATGGGCAAGGCAAAACTCTGAAGTCAGGGATCAGGAAGCTTCAAATGCACGTTTAGTATGTATTCACGAATACAGAATGCTCTTCTGTGGATGACTTCAGAAGGAAATGAATTGGTGTTACAACAGAAGTAATTGCAGTTCATGCTCATGTGGATAATGCTGAAAGTAGTGGATTATAAATTGCCAGCTCATTTAAATCAGTACAGCTCTACTGACACCATAATTGAGATGCCTGCTCTTAAGCTTTGCCCTAAGTGTTCTGATGGATTGTCAAGTTTTCTTTCTCTCAACCGAAGATTTCCAGCTGCACTGCAGTAAATCTATGAAGTATTAATGTCAATGTGATAGTAATGCAGAGACTGATTTACTAATAAATTAGGCATTCTTCCGCCACACTAGAAAAATTTGAAGAGTGCTAAACTTGAATCCATGGCTTTCAAAAAGCTGAGCTAAATCATCAAACTAAACCCACTTCTGTGAAATGCTTAATAATGGTATTCATAATTTTTGTTTTGTTTCATTTTGTTTTGTTACAGAATTTCATAGTAGTTGGAGATGGAAAAAAAGAATGTGTCACGAGAACAAAACTGAAGTAAATGATCTAATAATATTTTATGTTCTTTTTAGGTTCAATGTAATCTTATTGGGCACCAGCAGTGGAACTGTTCAAAATGGTTTATGGTGAATTTTTCCGCAGACCTGGCAAAGATGCAGAACTTATCAATTTGAATGTGGGTGGCTTTAAGCAATCAGTGGATCAAAGCACTTTGCTCCGATTTCCTCATACCAGACTTGGGAAACTTCTCAAATGCCATTCAGAAGAGGCTATTCTAGAACTATGTGATGATTATAGTGTTGCAGATAAGGAATACTATTTTGACAGGAATCCCTCCTTGTTCCAATATGTTCTGAACTTTTACTACACTGGCAAACTTCATGTCATGGAGGAACTTTGTGTCTTTTCCTTCTGCCAGGAAATAGAGTACTGGGGGATAAATGAGCTGTTTATTGATTCCTGTTGCAGCAATCGGTACCAGGAGAGGAAAGAAGAAGGTCCTGAAAAAGACTGGGATCAGAAAAGCAATGACAGAAGCTTTGACTCCTCCAATGAAGAATCATCCATATTTGATAAGGAGCTGGAAAAGTTTGATAATCTGTGCTTCGGTGAAATAAGAAGGAAGATCTGGGTCAGAATGGAAAATCCTGCATACTGCTTGTCTGCCAAGTTAATTGCTGTGTCCTCCCTGAGTGTTGTCCTGGCATCAATCGTGGCCATGTGCATTCACAGCATGCCCGAATTTCAAAGGCTGGATGCCAATGACAGAGAGATTGAAGACCCTGTGCTGGAAGCTGTGGAGATTGCGTGCATCATCTGGTTCACTGCTGAGCTAGTGATCAGGCTCATCACCGCTCCAAGTCAAAAGAAGTTCTGGAAGAAACCATTGAATATCATTGATTTTGTCTCTATTATCCCATTTTATGCCACCTTGGCTGTGGACACAAAGGAAGAAGAAAGTGAGGACATTGAAAACATGGGGAAAGTGGTGCAGATCCTGCGGTTAATGAGGATATTTCGCATCCTGAAACTGGCCAGGCACTCTGTAGGACTGCGGTCTTTAGGTGCTACTTTGAGACATAGCTACCAGGAAGTTGGACTTCTCCTTTTGTTTTTGTCTGTTGGGATTTCTATTTTTTCAGTTCTTGTCTACTCAGTGGAGAAGGATGATGACTCTTCAGAACTGCACAGCATCCCCGTTTGCTGGTGGTGGGCAACCATCAGCATGACTACTGTTGGTTATGGGGACACTTACCCAGTCACACTTGCTGGAAAGCTGCTCGGCACCTTATGCATTATCTGTGGGATACTAGTGGTGGCACTTCCAATCACCATTATTTTCAATAAGTTCTCTAAGTACTATCAAAAGCAAAAAGATATTGACCCAGACCAATGCAACAATGATCGCAAAGAGAAATGTAATGATCTACCTTATTTTAACATTAGAGATATTTATGCAAAAAAGATGCACTCATTCATTTCAAGCCTTTCCTCAGTAGGAATCGTAGTCAGTGACCAAGATTCAACAGATGCCTCCAGCATCCAGGATATGGAAGATGTTTATCACACAGCTACTTTAGATAATGGTGCAGGAAAATGAGTGGAATCACCTTCTCTTTTCCTCATTTTTCTTTTCTGAGTCCTGGTAAACATGGACTTAAAGACTTCAGTGAATTTATTAAGTGCATTTAATTCTCAGGGTACTTAACTCTTAGCCATATTTGGACATTCTTTGCTCTGAGGATGCCATACAAGCTTTGTCGGTTATAGGAGGCTTTAAAATATGCCTCATGTGGTAGTTTGGTTTTTACACAACAAGTGATATGTATTTTCTTTGAGGAAAAAAGTCAGGAAAACAGTTTTAAATGTGAGGTCATTGTTTCCTGCAGCAATATGATAGCTTACACAGAATCTTGCTGCTGTTCAAGTAGATGTATATTGCAAACACATAAAACCTATGGCACATCAGTGGAGTTTGTACTGAAAATATATCAGAAGAAAGAAGGAACTATCTACATGTAAAGCTGTGCTCACTAACACATTCATGTAATCCTGGAATTGGGAACCAACTTGGAACAGAAAATGTATTGGTACATAGTGTTCTTAATCCATGGCAGCATATTTATGAATTTCTTTCCAAAAGCACAATGCATTCTTATTTTGTTAAAAAAAATAATTCCATTGTGCCTATATTTTTCCCAGTGTCCCACCTCTAGCATGGACAAGCTCTGTCAAGTCCTGAAGGTTCTAAACCACGTGCACCAGGATGAAACTTGAGGCCTAAGGCCAGCCAGGAGCTTATTGTACCTTTTAGCCACCATCTCTGCCATTGCAAACCTGAGCTGTTTCAGTGCCTGGAGAGGATCCTGCTGTGGTTATGACTTCCTCGGAGGCTTTGTTTTGTGGGCACTGAAGTGAACTGCCATGGTGGACTTCAGAACTTACTGCTGCGTGCTGTCAGCTCTGCTCCTTTGCTGGAGGAAGTTGCCTCAGTGGGTAACAGCAAACATGAGCAGCATCTTGCTGCACTGGTTCCCAGTCCAGGGCTTTAATGCCAAGCATTGGAGATGTGTGGAAATGCTCTCCTGTACTATGTATTTCCCTTCAGCGGTAGGGTATGAACTGCATGTGGGCATGCATATGTTAACCTATTGCAGGTCATTTTCTGAAGCTCATCTGTTGGGGATGGCAGCCGTCCTGGCTTGTACTGTGGGCTGGAGCAGTGCTCGTGGCCTGGCAGAGCTCTGCAGCACTGTGTGTTCCTCTTCTCTCCAGGGATTTCTTATGCAGCCAGCTAATCCTGCTGTGCTTCAGGCTGCACTTTCCAGGGGTACGTGAAGGAAAAGCTGGCACTGAAAGCCCCCCAACCACGGAATGCTTAAGAAACTTCGGAACCTCAGAAGTCAGTAATACTTCTGAACACTCTTTTTTTTTTTTTTTTTTTTTTTTTTTTTTTGGTAGTAGATGCTGGGCAGTGAAGAATCCAAGCTACTGCGATGTTGATGTTTTGCTTAAAGAAAGACTTCACTGGTTTTTTGTTGTTATTATTGTTTTTTTATATCAATCTCTAATGGGCTGAATCCTGGTAGCCCTTAGTCAGTCTCTATGCAGGCAGATCAAACACAGTAGGAGTTGACTTCAAGACTGAATAAACCCAGACGGGAGCCCATTTCTAGCCTCTGCAGAGTAGCTCAGAGGGCTGTTTTTTCAGGTGTGTATCAGGATTTCTGTTGTAAAGTACATTGAGTTGCACTGATACTTGCTGAGGCACAGAGCTCCAACCTCTTTGCAGGTCAGTGAAACAAAAGAGAACGGGATGGACTACCTATATCTTGAAAAGAGGTGTTCTTCAGGAGGATTGTGCACCAGTATAGTTGAGACTATATGTGAGACTTGGGACACTTTGAGTTTTGCAGAAACTTCACAATTTGGATTATTATTGGCTGAGTGTCTTAAGGGTATGTGATGCTTCACAGGTAATCAAAATTAATTCTTCCCATTGTAAATGCAGGAAAACCAAAAGGGAAAGTTAGCCTACATGTGTTTTGTTCTTAGCGAACAGTTAGCATTACAAAGATGCAATGATATAAAATAATAAATATGTATGTGCATATGAATGTAATAGGAACCAGCAGAATAACAATATAAAAATTGCTCTGTCCAAAGAAACTCTCTTGGTGTAATCCATATGTAGATCATGTTGTTGAAATTTAAAAGCAATGAAAAAATATTGTAATGCAACAAAAACAGCAAGAAATTTGTATTAAACAGCTGAAAAAACCTAGTATTGAAAAATCTCTTTTTGTATATTAAGCATTACACAGAAATGGTACTAAACAGTTATTTGTCATAAATTGAACTACCTTTGATCAGTCACATAAGGATGTGGCACAAAGTTTCTCTGCCTTTTTCCGGATAAATTGACCTTGCACTGCGGTGAGGCATGTCTTTTAGACTGTGTAATAGGAGGGAACCCTTTTGCCATGCAAAGTGCTATTTTGATATCTGTGTTTTTCAGAAAAGGCTTTGTTGTAATCTTTCTCCTTTCCCATAAATGAGAGCAGGGTGTGAGCTGAAAGGTGCTGCTCTCAAAGCAGAACGTCACGTCCTGTAATGTGCAATGGTACGAGAAAGTAACACAGATCTCGAGTACCATAAAAAGCAGATGAGAGTAAGTACAGAGATGCTGGGTGGTCTTTCTGCTGGTGGAAGTTTTACTAGAAGAATTTTCTATCAAAAACTGAACATAAGTGTTGACTTGTTTCCTATTAATGTCCTTTTTTTGTCTAGAGTTGCGTATTATCAAGAAATAGTATCAATGGAAGGCAGATTATCTTTAATGCTTTTGTTATTCCTGTACCTTTTTCCTGTATGCTTTTCTCTTTAAAAATGCTGCTTAAATTCTCTCCATCCAGCTGCTGTTTCAGATAAAAAAGCACAGAAGAGGTTATGTTCAGACACGTGTCCCATTTTGCATGGGAGGGAATTGCTGGTCTTTAAACAAAACAGCTTCCTGGCACATCATTAGTTTCTTTGTCTTGATGGCAAACACCGCCCTTTTGCTATTCAGTTTTTCCACAGCAGCATCCATCCTTGTGTAGTTCTGTCCCAAAGCAGTGTAGGAAGGTTTATGGCCCAGCATGCTCCAGCTCATGCTGGGAGCAGCTCTGCACTGCCACTGCTCTCTGGTGTGTATTATAGGAGCTGAAAGGCAGATGTGGAGGTGTAAGAAAAGAAAGCTTTCTGAGTCCAGAAGGACATCTCTCATTCATCTGGCTGGCAGCAGGTAAAGCTTAGCTGAGGTGAAATGAACAAACAGTCTTGCTGTTTATATTGGCACCCTTTTGGGTTGTGCTTTTTTTTTTTTTTTGGAGAAAATGTCACATAAATCAGTGTGGCATAAAACAGTGGCAGAGCCTAAACACCAGCTAAATAAATGATAGCACATCTGTGCTAAGCAAAGTAACAAAATATCTGCTACTTGTTAAGTATAATTAGTTTCAGGCACCATAATGCAAAATATTAACTATTTAAAAAATCAAAGAACGCTGAAAGTGTCAGGCAGGTCTGTCTGGTAAGAGCAACATGCGGTCTCGTCTGGGCTGGGATTTTGTGTATTAATGCATTTATTAATTTCCACACATCCTTAATGAGCAGAGCAAGTGACAGAAACACTAAGCTGCAGAGAGCTTCTCTAATGTTTTTTGATTAGCTGACAGTGCTTGCGAAGCTGCTAATACCTCTTCATCCACAAAAGGACAATTCTCAAACAAAATCAAAACAACCCTGTGCTAGAAGTGCAATTTGTGTTTGATAGCAGTAGCTCAGCTGCAGTCGGTAAATACTGCTGTCTAGTGCTCTATAGCTGCAGTGCTGCTGCTTGTATTGCTGAGATGTTTATGCTCTGTCAATCAGGAGACAGCAGATGCCATTAAGCCATCTCAGCACTTTCCCACTGCACCATAATTGCAGTATCTCTTCTAAGCATTCACGACTTGCTGAGACTTTTTTTTTTTTTTTTTTTAATTTCTGTAAAGCTGTTGTTAATTTTTCATGATGGGCCTATGGTCCAAATATGATCTAGCAGAAGTCACTGTGTGCCTCTAGATAGAATCACAGAATATCCCAATTCGGAAAGGATCCATAAGGATCACTGAGTCCAACTCCTGGCTCCACAAACTACCATCCAAAAATCAGACCCTATGCCTGATAGTATTATCCAAATGCTCCTTAAACTTTGACAGCTCAGCCCTGGGGAGCCTGTTCCACTGCCCATGCCAAGGTCTGGCAATCAGTGGATATTGCACCTGCACATTCATTCTTACTTTTTTGGTTTTGAGGTGCTAGTTTTTTCAGGCTTCTGAATGTCACACACAGAGACAGTCACAAAACAGGTACAAATGTGCTTTTCAGAGTTCTCCGTTGTATGCACACTAGAAGCACGTGTAGGAATGTCTGTCCCATTGAGTGACTGGAAGTGTTTGGTATAGGTTAAAAGATTTTGCTATTTACTTCCAATCTGGATGTTTCCCTCCCACCCAGCTGAAAAAGGACAAACAGCAGTAATTCTTAGTTAAGGAGTAAAAAGCAAAGCTCCTTTGGCTGTTCAGTATAATTAGATTCAATATCAAACATGACTACTTCCTTGAGGAACAATCTACACGTCATTTCTTTTTAATTAATATATTGGAGAGGGAAATTTTTGCTTGAGATATTGGAAGCAATGCAGATTGAGGGCTCCTTCATCTCTGTACACATTGATTTTCCAAAACCTCATACACCAGTGGGACAGGGAGACTTTACAGGACCCCTGACAGGTCCAAACCTGCAGACCAAAGACCTGGTTGTGGAGGAGGTTGTGGAGCAGGGCTGATTGTGGAGGAGAACTCATCTCTGGCTCTGGCTTAAACGCTGTGCTAGGAATGAGCTCATTAACTAATTCTGTGTTCTGCTGATTAAAAGCAGTAACACGTGGTGACTTGCTGAAGTGATCTGCTTTCACTGTTTCTTTAAGACTTTTCACAGAATGACCAAAGAATGTGAATTGTAATGTAATAGCATTACAATGGTTTCGTGTCTAGTTATTCTCTACTATTTAATAGCATATGTACTGAGTTTCCTAGTTATTTTATGACATGCATTGCTGTTTCCACTGCACAGCTTGTTATAACTAGCACACAACTGTGCTGGAGATTGTTATGGCCTGATTTAGTGTCATTGTTCTAGGAGCTCTTTTGAGTCAGCACAGGCAAGGGCACCCTGGGCCGCATTCGCTTCCCCCAACTTCAGCTATTGTGTGGCTGGTTCTTTGGGCTTCCTTTGCCAACAGACAAAAACAGACCTCTTCAGGACACAGCACATCTGGTGTGTTCAAAGGTCCTGACTGAAAATGGGAGAAATGTCTCTGTTGGATATGCAGTAAGAAAGCAAAGCAATGGCCTGAAGTTGTGTCTGGGGAGGTTTGGATTGTATATTAGGAAAAATTTCTTCTTAGAAGGAGTAGTGAGGCACTGGCACAGACTGCCCAGGGAGGTCACCATCCCTGGAGGCATTCAAGGACTGTGGAGACTTGGCACTGAGGGACATGGTTAGCGGGCATGGTGGAGATGGGTTGGGATTGAAGTAGATAATCTTATTGGTCTTTTCCAACCTTGATGATTTTATAACTCTATGATTCTATAAGGATATATGAATTTGTTAGGCTAGATGTCTGTCCTTTAGGTACTGAAAGGTAGATGCGGTGCATTCTAAACCACTGGATTATCTACCAGTGCTAGACCATCACTGATGCTGCTGTCCTCCTCTGAGCATTGTGTGTGTAGGATGGACTGTGCTTCTGATACAGATCTCTGAACCTGGGTGACATAGAGACAGACACAGGAATTTATGCTGAAGTCTGAAAGCTGCTCAGTGTTAGCAGCTGGGTAAGCATTAATCCAGTGTAGCATTTCTGAAGCCAGCTTCCTCTGCAAGAATCTTTTCCCCAGAATCTTTGCTAGCTATCTGTTAGTCTGGAATAACCTGCAAGTTGAAGTTCAGCCTCCTGTAGTAATTAAAAAAATACACATAATAAAATACCAGAGGGAGCAAATTCGTGTTGGCAGAGGCAGGCACAATATGCTGACAGTACTTTTGCAACTCAAATTTGCATTATTTCTTGGCTTCCTGTAAGCTACATAAAATATTCTGACTGCACCATGTGTTATAAAGTCTATCCCTGTGCACTAATATAAATATAATAATGGAGCCAAATCCCAGTATTACAGCTGTGAAGCCAGAAAAAAATTCTGACCTTGAAGAAACTGCTGAAATATTGCTTGGCTACAACTGCTAAGGTTGTAGCTGTCTCAGTGGTGGGGAAAACAAGGGGCTGTGCACAGATGTCGATAGGTGGGCCTCCCTTTCCTCCTTTGCGGATTCAGTTCTGAGCTCCTGGTGGTGCTGAGGGAGCTGTGTGGCACTGGGGACCACTCCTGAGGCTGTTAAGTTTGTGGCTATCTGTCCCTAGGAAGGGGTGGGTATCAGTCAGAGAATTAGGTCTGCATGAAATAAATAGCACTTTGGAAGCTATAATATTATCACTGAATTCAATGTCCGTCCTCCACACCCTCCTCCCCATACCCTTAAGAAGCAACCTGGGAGAGAAAGCAGAAATGAGGGAGAAGCTCAGGGCACTAGTATTTAGTCGCAGCCATTTGGAGGCTGCTATTTGTTGTCTAATCCAAGTGCTTTTGGGGAGTCACAGGTAAAGGTTTGTACACAGAGTTAAAGCCATTCCATTAGCTGCAAGAATATATTTTGTGTTGCAGGCACAATAATTCTCGAGGGTAGTTTCTGGGTGTGATGCTTTTCATGCTGACTGGAATTTGTATTGTTCTGAAGTGTTAACATGTGGGTTGATGGTTGGACCAGATGATCTTACTGGTCTTTCCAACCTTAATGATTCTATGGTTCTATGATTCTATGTGCTATAAATCATCACTGCAGATTCTACCTCATTTCATAGAAACCTAGAAACTGTGAGCATGAGGGGGTTCCGTCAGTTTCTCTCGTCCAGCATTACTTTTGACAGCACAAATAATGTGTATTTCAGTGAACGGTGATAGAACAAGAGGAAATGATTTCAAGCTAAAAAAGGGGAGATTTAGACAGGATATAAGGAAGAAGTTTTTGAAGTAAGGGTAGTGAGACACTGGCACAGGTTGCCCAGAGGTGTGGTGGATGCCCTATCCCTAGAGACATTCAAGGTCAGGCTGGATGGGGATCTGAGCGCCGATGGAGCTGTAGGTGTCCCTGTTCAGTGCATGGGGGTTGGACTAGATGGTCTTTAAGGGTCCTTTCCAACTCAAATGATTCTATGATTCTGTGACTTCAGGCTGCTTTTTATCAAATATTTGAAGACCAACTTAGGTTGTTCAGCAGGCATATAGATATGTCTGGCGTCTAATTCTGGGTGGCATAACCCCAACCATAAAAATAACGGTCCTTCTCTTTGTTCTTTGTTTGTTTGTTTGTTTGTTGCCGTTGCTTTGAAAATGACTTTGCAATCTTGCATATTTGGATTGTGGGAAAAAGTGTGGTGAGTAAATAGCTCACTGTGCAACGAGCCAGCTTAGTGCTTGGAAGTGTGTGCAGGAATTCTGTGTGAAGCAGGAGGGTGCTGGTGTTTGGGGGCAGGGCTCTATGAGCCTCCTGGGTGGAAGGAAAAACTTTTTTTTTTGTTTTGCTTTATTCTCTTCCTCTAAATAGATTTTAGGAGGATATGGAGAAACAGTCTTGCTGTGCTGTGGTAATAGTTTTGAATGAGATGATGGGCACATTGAAGTTAAGGCTGTTAAAAACTAACACCAATTTTTTTAAGTAAGCAGCCCCATCCCCTGGGACAATCAGTTTTTATTCACCATCACAACTTTTGTGATAACTGTTCCAAATTTTATTTCAAACACAAAAAGAACATGCCAAAAACACAGCAATCTTTTTATCTGCCATATACTTTAAAGATTAAATTAACTGTAGTGATAGGTGTGGAAAGGGAAATGGCTGGTGGGCAGGATGTGGGGGGAGGCTGAATTTTTAGAAGTCATTTTGAAATTCTGCACTTTTGCCTTTGGCATCACA